ACGTACTGAACTGGTCAAGTATCTCTGACAGGTGTCTGGAAATGGAAATTCGAACAGCTTTAAGAGAGCTTAGCCTATCCCAAACTTGCTGTGTACTGTTCCAAGATCAGTCGCTGAAGTGGGTGATTTATGAAGCATTTTGAACTTCCCAATCATTATGCTTTTTGGAAAATGTGTAGATCTGCCAGATAAAATACAGGACACCAAGTGAAATTTGAATTTAAACTTAACATTCAGTGTAAGTATGACTTTAACCATGTATCCTATATTTTTATTTGCTAAGTCTGGCAACAATTCTGGTGCTGAATTCTATAGATTTAAAAATGTATGGGAAGAAAAAAAATATTAAGAAAACGAGAGCATCAACTGTATTTCAATGAATAAATAAATAAACAGCTACAGTTAGAAACCAGAAGAAGCAAAGGAAGGAAGGAAGGAAGGAAGGAAGGAAGGAAGGAAGGAAGGAAGGAAGGAGAAAAGAAAAAAGAAAAGAAAGAAATTAGAGCAAAATCTTGGGTGTTTTTAAGACATGATTTGAAAGAGATTACCTAAAAATTGGGAAAGACTTTTCATATAACCCATAAAAATGTAAGTTATAGAAAGAAGGTACATGAGAGAACACATAATGAGAAAAACATTAACTGGGATCCATATGAAGCCAATGTTTTGCTTCGTGTACTTTGGTCACATTACCCAAGGTTGGGGACAGGAGGCCATCCCAGCCTCGCCATCTGTAGACATGCTACTGCTAACTTCTCTGCTCGATTCTTCATGAGGATTCTTTAAATTTTTGGATGGCAGCTTCTTTGTCCTGCAATAAAGCCAAAATGTGAGACAATGTCAAAACAAAACCCAACCAACCAGAAGCCCTCTTAGTGAGGGTCAGAGACAACCGCTTTTACTACTGAAATGTAGGTACTTAAAACATTCACATTCACTCACATCTACTGAGTACTAACTATACTCCAGGCACTACCCTAGTACTGGGGATATAGCAGTGGAGAAACAACAAAGTCTACCTTAACGGACCTACAGTTTGGAGGGCAGGGATTGTCTACAGAAATAATATCACAGCAACTATGACACAGACTATGTGAGCTCCATTTTATCAGTGAAGCCTGTGGGACTGGAGGATTAGCAGTGACTTGCCCAAAGCACATAGCTACTGAAGGCAACTCAGGAGCTGGGTCATAACGACACAAAGCCTAGGCCTCTACCATTGTCCTGGTGGCCTCTCCTGCTCAAAGGCATCAGATGCAAGGACACACGGAGTGGAGAACACAAGAGATTACTGCCCCATACTTGCCAAGCTAGGAAACAGAATAGGTTTCTTGCCTCCAAATCTAGCTTTATAAATATTTACTTGTTTGACAAACATGAAGCACAAAGTCTATAGAAGGCATGGTGTCAGGCACTGAGGGGAAGGATAGAGTAAAGGGAGGGAGATCTAAGATTAAGCTGGGACCCCTGTCCCCAAAGCAGTAGCCTCTAGAGGCAGAGAGATGGGTACATAATGTATTGAGCAGCCATTTAAGGCAAGGTAATGGAGGAAATGTGATGGCAAAGACAACTAGGCAGCTCAAGATTCCAAAACAGTGCTGCTCTCTTGGGCAGGTGGCAGCTAAGTCCCTCTAGGAGTGTGACCCTCTATCAAATAGGCCTGCCTGGACATCTGACCAAGGGTAGTAAGGAAGGTAGATGCTCCTATGAAAACCATTCTAGAAACTGAGTTCAGTGTGACAGATGGTACCAGGTGGTGGCATGGGCTGTTACTGTTTTTAACCAAAGGCATCTAGGAAAGTACTGAAGCAAGTGGGTAACAGAAACAGTTCCAAGTTGCAAAGTAACAAAGTTATAGTTTGTCACAGAATTCTTCCTGTTGATTTTCTTACAAGGGAATCCTTCCAAGAAATCAAGCTTTATGAAGTAATAATATTACAACATTAATTCCACAAGCATACTTTTGAAAGATATACCAGACAAAGAGTGTTAAATGCTCAATCTAGACAAGGCAGGCAAGGGGGTAATACAAAAGGAGGAAATAACTTATTCTAACTCTTGTAAAGGAAATCATTCAGGGGCACCAGGGTGGCTCAGTCAGTTAAGCATCCAACTTAGGCTCAGGTCATGATCTCACTGTCTGCGAGTTTGAGCCCCACCTTGGGCTCTGTGCAGACAGCTCAGAGCCTGGAGCCTGCTTCAGATTCTGGGTCTCCCTCGCTCTCTCTGCCCTTCCCCTGCTCACACTCTGTGGTTTCTCTCTCAAAAAACAAATAAACAATAAAAATTTTTAAAGAAAATCATTCAACATGCCTAAGGTCTGTACTTATTGGTATACTTTACTGACATGGCAATATTTAGACAAGCAGTTTTAATTTGATCTTCTCAGAGTCAATATAGCAAGAGTACAAATTGCAGTCAAACACATAACTGAAAATCTGAGTAAGCAGTTCCACTGATCAGAACTATTAAGTGAATAACCATAGATTTGCTCAGAAAGAACTTTGCAACTCTGGATGCATTTTGGTAAAAAGTAAAAGAAAAGGTTCTGATGAGTTTCCTTCATAAAGAAATAGTTCTTACCACTTTTTATTTAGGTATACAGGGGTCAGAAGCCAAAAACGTTCTTATTTGTACATCAAGCCAACACTGACCGGCTGAGCTGGTCTTTGAGTTCTAAGTCCAAAAGGCCAGCAACCTGACATTAGCTTTCAACCCAGAGCTCTGAAGAACATTAACAAAACATATAACTTATTTACTATGTCATAGCCCATAGAATAAGAAAAACTATTTAATAATTATAGCACACATGAACTTGAGTTTCTTGTTTCCATTTTTTCTACACTATTTGCCAAGCATCTACTTTTCTTTTGGCACTCAGTCCAATGGGATAAATCTTGATTATTCAATATTCTTTCCACAAATCCAATACCAGGTTAAAAAGTGAAATGGTTATTGTTGGAACTCTGAATTACAAATTTCAAGTTTGTGCTTGAGAATCTTGTCTCTCAAGATGTAAAAGGGTTTAGAGTATGTTACTCTTTAGGGGAAGATTATAGTTCCTTAAAAAAAAAAATCATCATTAGATTAAATGTCATTATTAAACTGGCATATTAAATCCTATATGCCAGTTCTACACTAAACTCTTTACTTAACTTAATTCAATTAATTTTGCAATAACTCTTGAGATAAGTACTGTTTATTTTATAGCAAAGGAAATTAATGAATACAAAAGTTTTAGATAAGATGCCTGATGTTACTTAAGCATGACAGGGACTTGCACCTGTGTCGTCTGATTCTTAGAGCCCATGCTATTAGCCACAACACTAAGAAACAGCACGATCTCAGACTAGCACATCTTGGATGACATGCTGAAATTCCCCATAAGGCACAACACTGGCCTCCTGAATGGTTGTGTAGCACTGGTAAACGTGACTGGGTTTTTATCTGCAGATGGTGGGATACGTATTCCCTACATTCCCAGAGAACAGGGACTATTAAGTGAGTCTTAGGCTCTTTAGCCATATAATGATGAAATTGAAGTAGATAAAAAGTCCCCTTCACCCCGAATGTGTTTTGACTCAATAGTTTTGTACCACACAAACCATAACAGCACAGAAAATGCTTTTCAACATTGATGATAGTGGAGGACGATGTCCTTTTTTAAGGAAATGGAAAATAATGGGTGCACCTGGGTGGCTCATCAGTGGACTGTCTAACTTCGGCTCAGGTCATGATTTCGCTGTTTGTGGGTTCCAGCCCCGCATCGGGCTCTCTGCTGACAGCTCAGAGCCTGGAGCCTACTTTGGATTGTGTCTCCCTCTCTCTCTGCCCCTCCCCTGCTCACACTGTCTCTCTCTTCTCTCTCAAAAAGTAAATAAACTTTTTTTTTAATTTTAATAAAAAATAATGGAAAATAAGCAAACAATGTGATAACTATCCCATCACCTTAATGTATTATGTTTTTAATTTTGAAGTTTATTTTATTTTTGAAAGATAGAGACATAGCATGAGGAGAAGGGCAGAGAGAGAGAAGGAGACACAGAATCTGAAGCAGGCTCCAGGCTCTGAGTTGGCAGCACAGAGCCCAACTTGGGGCTCGAATTCACAAACTGTGAGATCATGACCAAGCTAAAATTGGAGGCTTACCTGACCGAGCCACCCAGGCACCCCTATCTTTTTAATTAAATGTATAAATATTTTTGTTCCACAGAGTTTGAAATTACTAAAAAAGAGCAAACCCAAAAGGAACTTCTGAGTGAGGGAAAATACTGACTCCATTGAACAGAAGTAATAGTATATGGAAAGTTGACTCAGTGGGAAAGACAGCCATGAGAAATTGAGTAGCCTATGGGGGGAAGCATGTGATGCTAAGAGAAAGAAGTGGAATATAAAAGTGCATTATGCTCAGTGACAACCCTAGAAACAACATAGACATACTGACAAAAGACTGGAACAGAATAAGGAAAAGTAAAGCCATGATGTTTCAGAGCAGTGCAATCCTGACACATTTCTTGTTTTCTTTGACTCTACTCCACCTTTTTAATAAACGTAGCAAGGTTGTAACAAAAGTTCATCTCACGGAGGCAGGCATTCCCCTGGGGGAGCAAGAGAGCAAGGTAGAAAGTGCCAATGGAGGGGCGCCTGTGTGGCTCAGACCGTTGGGCGTCCAACTCCTGATTCGGGCTCAGGTCATGATGTCACAGGTTCGTGGAATCAAGTCCCGCATGGGGCTCTGCGCTGACAGGCAGAGCCCGCTTGGGATCCTCTCTGCCCCTCCCCCGCACGCACACGCACGCTCACGCTCTCTCTAATAAATAGATATTTAAAAAAAGAAAGTGCCTCTGGAAAGAAAAGGTCACCTGTAGTGGTGCGCCCCCCACAGGCCCAGCAGCAGCAGAAGGACGAGCGCCACCACGCCGACGGCGGCCCCAGTGACTCGCCGCTGTCTCCCTAGGCCGGCGTGGCGCAGTTCCCATTTCAAGTCTCGGTGCTGACATCGTTCCCCGACATAGCCAAAAACACAGCTGTAACAACACAGAAGCAGAGGTCAGCGGTGAGCCCTGGCCAAAAACAGAGTTTTCAGATTCGAGACGCAGCTGTCTTTCCACCTCTGCGTTTCCAGGCTCCGCTCTTTAGAAGCATATGGGAAATCCATCAGGGGTCAGTTGAAAGCACTCTGATTTACACGTTAATGCGGCATGGACTTCCCCTGAGGTCTGTTTGCTCTGGGACGGATGGGGGATATTTGCATACCGCCTCTATAAGGCATTGCGGAACATTGATTAAAGATCAGCTTCTGTTAGGCTAAAATCCCGAGGAGCTACCTTTAAGACCAGCACAAAGCAACTCTGCCCTAAGAGCCAGGAGAGTTTTTAAACAAATGTTTGGCTAGATTGCAGTGAGTATAGGTCAAAGGAAGGAAGAATTTGAAGGCAGAGCCGCTCACTTGGGACTAGGCTTATAAAAAGAATGTGTAGTCTCTGAACAGGAAGTACAGCCTAGTCAGCTAGGGAAACATTTATTTTCTTTTTTCAAATTTTTTAATGGTTATTTTTGAAAGAGAGAGAGACAGAGCGTGAGCAGGGGAGGGGCAGAGAGAGAGAGAGAGGGAGGGAGACACAGAATCCAAAGCAGGGTCCAGGCTCTGAACTGTCAGCACAGAGCCCGACGTGGGGCTCAAACTCACAGACTGTGACATCATGACCTGAGCAGAAGTCGGGTGCTTAACTGAGCCACCCAGGCACCCTTCTTTCATTTTTAAAAAATCACCACTGACCCAAGAGAAAAGGTCTTAGTGGCAACACGTGAACTTTTGTTTACTTTCTTCAAGGGAGAAAAACCTAAATGGAGGAAAAGGGGCATGCAGGCGCAGTACCTCATTAGTGAAACTGTAACTAGCGTCACCAGCCACCAACACGAGGTCGACCTTTTAAATAAAAGTAAGTGAAACAATGCTGCCATCTACTGGGAATGTATACTTGCAGAAATTATGGGATCCTGGGTACAACTATATTCTATTACTCTTCACAAGGGCATAAACTTCAAAAAAATAACCTATTAAATATTTTGAGATACTCACTTGTCAGGAACTTCTTCCCCCCCTTGGCCCTGAATCAACTATCCACTATGTCCATATCACCCCTCATTCCAAAAGGACTTGAAGGAATGAATACACAGGGAATTGGTACTGGTCCTCATGATGGGAAGAGACAGCATGAAAGAAATATTGGATGGAGTTCCAGAAGACCTAGATCCCAGGCCAAGTTCTACCTTGAGTTGGTCATAAGAGCACTGGAAAGTCTCTTTCAGGGAGAGAGGGAAAGGAACTAGCATTTGCTAAGCACCCATGTGTCTGACATTATGCTAGGCACTTGTAGTCATTTTACATTCAATAGCAAATTCCCATTTTATAGATGAGAAAAGTGAGGCTCAAAGGCTGAAGTAATTTGTACCAGGTCATACAGCTAGTGAATGGCAGGGATTTTGTTTGTTTTTGTTTGTTTGTTTACTATAGCTGACACACAATGTTACATTAGTTTCAGGTGTACAACATAGTGATTTGACAAGTTTATATGTTTGCTGTGCTCACTGCAAGTGTAGCTAACATCTGTCACCATATATCACTATTACATCATTGACTATATCCCTTATGTTGTGTCTTTTATTCCTGTGACTTGTTTATACTCTAACTAGAAGCCTGTGTCTCCCCACTTCCCTCTACCCATTTTGCCCAAGCCCTCCATCTCTCTCCCTTCTTGCAGCCATCAGTTTGTTCTCTGTATTTATAGGTCCGATTCTGCTTTTTGTTTGTTTACTCATTTTTTAAAAGATTTCACGTAGGAATGAAATTATTTGGGAATTTGTCTTTCTTTTTTTTTTTTTTTTTTTTATTTCTGAGAGAGAGACAGCATGAGCAGGTGAGGGTCAGAGAGAGAGGGAGACCCAGAATCAGAAACAGGCTCTTAGCTAACTGTCAGCACAGAGCCCGATGCAGGGCTTGAGCCCATGAACCGTGAGATCATGACCTGAGCCGAAGTCGGACACTTAACCAACTGAGCCACCCAGGCACCCCGGGAATTTGTCTTTCTGAGTCTGACTTACCTCACTTAGTATAATATACTCTAGGTCCATTCATGTTTTCTCAAATGTCACATCTCATCCTTTTTGTGGCTGCATCACGTGAGCACACACACACACACATCTTCCTTATCCATTCATTCATCTATCACTGGACACTTAGGTTGCATCAATAACTAGGCTATTGTAAATAATTCTTGCAATAAACATAGAAGTGCATACACTTTTATGAATTACTGTTTTCATTTTCTTTGGGTAAATACCCAATAGTGGAATTGTTGGATCATATGGTATTTCTGTTTTTAATTTTTTGAGGAAATTCCATACAGTTTTCCACAGTGGCTGTATCAATTTATATTTTCACCAACAGTGTACGAGGGCTCCTTTTTCTCCACATCCTTGCCAATACTTGTTACTTTTTGTCTTTTTGATTTTAGCCAGTGAATGGAAGGTTTGATCTGAATGTTTTTCTGATGTCAAAGCCTGTGTTCTTTCTGCTCCATTGAGCTACTTCCAAAAAGGGTTTTGAGCTCTCTGTACCTCTGAAAAGCCATTCTTCTTGGGGTGCCCGGGTGGCTCATTCGGTTAGGTATCCAACTTCGGCTTAGGTCATGATCTCACACTTCATGAGTTCAAGCCACGCATCGGGCTCTGTGCTGACAGCTCAGAGCCTGGAGCCTGCTTCAGATTCTGTGTCTCCCTCTCTCTGTCTGCCCCTCCCCCCTCATGCTCTGTCTCTAAAATGAATAAACCTTAAATTTTTTTTTAAAAAGAAAGAAAAGGAAAGCTATTCTTTTAGAATGGTATGTGAAAGAGAGGACAGGATCTGAGTGTAGGATGTATAAACGACCATCACATTATTCCAGGCGTTACTGGATACTGTTTTAACTCTAGCTATCTTTGGTTATAGTCGTTTACTACCAATGCCTAATAGCCTCTTTTAAACTGTTGGATACTAATCTCAGAGATTTTAGGGTCTTAAGGAATATGCCAATTACCTGGGCAAGAGTGCTGGGGGAGCCAATGTTGCATTGGTCTTTCTGGGCTGTATAAGGCCCAGAGCAGTCAGTAAGCACTTCACATGGATGGGCCGCCCACTACTAGTTCTTTGGGTTATTAACTAGCTCTGTTAAACCAAGCAAAAGATTCCTGTGTTTATTTATTTAAATCAACTATTCAAACCTGAGTTTGTTTAAATCATTTTAAGAAATCCTGGACTGGGAGGGTGGGAAAGAGGGGAAGGGGGGTGATGGGCATGGAGGAGGGCATTTGTTGGGATGAGCACTGGGTGTTATATGTAAACCAACTTGAAAATAAACTATTTAAGGAAAAAAAAAAAAAAAAAAATCCTGGACTGAAAAAAGGTCAACAAGACTGTTACCCACTGTGGTGAACTATGATCAAGAACTGAGGGCATAGGTGTGCAGCATTTCTCAAACTGATTTGACCACAGAACTCTTTTTTTTTTTTTTTTTTCGTGAAACATTTCACAGCACTGGTGCTGGAGGATCTTGGTCTCGAGAAGACCTGCCCAGAGGATGTGGGGTGGTTCAAAGCCAATGCAGAATAAATGAGGACCTCCTCTTAGCTCAGGAGGCTTGGTCTTCTGAGACTCTCCAGACCAGGGAATCTTTGAGGAAGACATGGGCGTGGGGACTTCAGTTCTCACATCCTCTGCACCCCCAGGAAACTAGGGGATCTCTGTATCTGAGGGGAGTTTCCATTGCCTTCCAGTAAGGAAAGTAGCCCTTTCTAAACCTGCTCACAGTGCTAAGAACATTCTGCAGAAGGATGCCCATGAAGTGTTTTTAATAAAAGTTAGACTGGTGAGCACTTCTAGAGATGTGTTATTGTAGAATTTTTAAGAAATCTAAGGTGAGGTCAGCAGGGCAAAAGAGGAAAGGGTTGAATGTGTGATTAAACCACAGTTTTATTAAAGGTAGAATTCAAAAACAAAGTTGTGATCTAGATTAATGGGAACTCTGGTGATATTTTAAATATTGTTTTTGATTAAAGGTGCTCAAATGTGAGTATAATCTCTAGTTTAATTGTCATTTTGTAGCAACTCATGTTTAAAACACTATCAGGGAATAAGATATTTTCATCAGGATTTAATGACAGAAAGAAAAGCAGTGTACTAAAGGGTTCATAAATCATTTAATGAATTGGTCCTATTGGGTCAAATGAAATAATGTACTAAATACAATATGTAATTGCGAAATACCTTTCACATTACTGTAATGTCTTTTATAATCTAAAGGTAAAGTAGCATAGAGAAAAACAAACCATGGCCTAATAAATTTGTCTTCATAATTTCATTATTTTGGATAATAAGAAATTACGAACAAGTAAAAAAAAAAGACACTTATTAATCAAAATCAAGGATAACTATTGTGAATATTGGATTTATCTTAGGAAATTACAACATGCAAATATGAAGATGAAAGGGCACCTGGGTGGCTCGGTTGGTTAAGCTTCTGACTTGATTTCAGCTCAGGTCATGATCTCACAGTTCATGGGTTCGAGCCCCATGTCAGGGTTGACACTTAAGTGTGGAGCCTGCTTGGAGTTTGTATCATAGAGAATCATAGATTCTCACAGAGAATTCGTGTCATAGAGAATCATGTCTCTCCCTTTCTTACTGACCCTCCCCTGCTTGCTAGCATTCTCTCTCTCTTTCTCTCTCTCTCTCTCAAAATAAATAAATAAACATATGAATATGAATTCTATGAGAATTGAATCATTTTCACTAATATTCATGAGCATTTTTCATTATTTTTGTCTAGCTGACACAATTTATAATGCAAGACCATTCTCTTAGTCAGAGGATATAACTTGTTCTTCTAACAATTTAGACTATGTTTCTGCTGATTACTATTCATAAAATAATAAAAGCCTTTAAGCTTATAGCATGTATTCATAGATCCGAATATTTTATCACTTTTTCCTCAGGCACAGGGAAAATTATCAATGAATCAGGACTCTAGCCATAGGAGACCTATTTATTTTTCAGTACCTATCAGTTCCCCCTGATTGACTTCAAAGTGTGAAATCCATTAAAAGTAAAACGTGATGCGGAACTAGATGTTGTGAGTGTGGTTTTCTCAAAAGCCCCAATGGAAATGTTTTCTGAGAAGTACGGTAGAGGGACCTATCGCTTCAGGTCATCCTCAAACAGCTTTTCAGTTGACCACATCCACGGTGAACCCGTCACGGGGACAAAAAAGGAGCAAAGGGCAGCAGGTGCCGCTTCCAACACTTGTTACTAAACAACAAAAATGTAAACACCCAGTATTAGAAAATGAAGACAAACAATCTTTTTTGCTAGTTTTGAAAACTGAAGGTAAGAAGTCCAATGTGAATATATAATAGTTTTGTAAATGCAGAAACATATTGTGGGTGTTCTCCACATATGCGGCAGAATATAAATCAAAAGTTTTAAGGAATTCTTTCACAAACCCAAGTTTTCAGCCAGAATGAGAGGTTTACGTCCCAGACTGTACCAGTCCTGACATCAAGTTAAGTAAAAGGGAAAATCACCAATTCTTTAAATGTGTATTTACTGTGGGCACTTGGGGGTGGGGGTGATATGCAGGGAGGGTGCAGTATGGACACACACACAATTTATCTATGTGTATTTATATACTTCTCCCTAGCAAAAACCTACTCATAGAAAAATCTCCTTGGTACAATTCTATCAGTTAGCTAAAAGTTATGGGCTGCAATATCATATCTTTGTGCCACCACAAAGATAGCTTGACTTACTTGCATGCGTATCTGTCCACTGCTTCAATATACATACACACACCATTATAGAGGCAGTACCCATCATAGGATGGGGGGCATTCCTGGTAACCATTTC